AAATGCTCACATGTGCAGCGCACACTTCATATCAGGTTAGGGAAAAAGTATTTCCTGTTGTAGGGATGAATAAGGTTATGTGTATTAAGGGTTATCATGTCCACCTCATCAGAAACTGGGGAGGGATTAAGAGGAATATTGGATTTCTCTGGAACGCTAACTTTTTAGCACATTAGCTAACGTTAGCTTCCATAGCAAAACAAACAAGTGTGGTCCTCCTTTGTAGGATTGGCTTCCTGTGACATCATCCATCCACTGAGTGAGAGCATACGGGTCGGCCAGTCTGGTCCCGATGGTCACTGTTTACATATTCAAGTAACACTGGCGGTCCCGGAGAGTGAGTGACCTGACATGGTGCGTTGGTAAATTCAGTCTGACGCTCTACACTAAAATGAGAGCCCTGTTGGTGGAAGAAACGCAGCGTTATATTTCTACATGAATGAACCAAGTTAAGTTAATCACACGTTGACTCCGCTCGGCGCTCTGCTGCTCCGTCTCCACAGACAGTGTCAGTTTGCTACTCGGAGAGTGCAATACTCTGAGTAACCGAATGGCACATTCAGACAGCGTTACAGCGTTAAGAATTAATGAACGGTCCATTTTTTGCTGGAGTGCACTCCAACACAGAATGAGTTTTTCCGAACGCACCCTATTCAGAAAGACACATGAAATTTTTCTTAGACTCCTCTGGGTAACACTTGAGGGCGCTCATGTACCACCAGTGGTACGCGTACGATAGTTTGGGAACCAGTGGTGTATGATGATAAGGCCAGTAAATGCCAAAAAGACTTGCCTAAAGCCCTTTCCTCAGCTGAATCAAAAGGTCAACAGATGAAGGGTTTTGATCGTTGTACAGAATGTGAGCCCTCAAACAAAGTTCTGAATTTGTGCTACATAATTAAAATAAACTAACCCTAAACACTGTAATCCTTAGTGTGCCCGAGTAATAAAATAGATTTAAAAAAAATAGTAATAATAAACTTAAATTCAAAAACTTTGATGGAATTAAACTATTTACTATCAAACTTCAATTAAAGGCCTAGTTCCTTTTAACTAGCCCGATATGGCTACACATTTTGACAAATAAAGGCCTGTCTCAATTAGGAGCCTGGTCTGATTGCCATGCAGTTCATTTTCGTTACAGTTAAGTTCTTCAGATATATAACCAGGTTGCTATCTATGTCAAATTATGTGTCCATTTCTTGATTGCCCTGCAAGTTATTCATCATCCTTTAGTCCACAAGGTTCCTCAGATCATGACTGATATATTATCTGAAGCCTAACTGTTATACAAGTAATATTCATGCTGGTTTAAACAATGGATCTTTGCTGAGCAACAGTTTTGTGTGAAATGAATTAAAGGCCTGTCCCTAATAAAGGCCCATTGATTTCAGTGATTTAAGCAAATAATAGCCCAAGCAATTGAAGTTTTACAGTAAACATGAACAGCTCTGTATGTCTGAGGGTGCGTTTGCCTTCTTCACCAGGACTACCAGATGTGGCTGGACCTGAGGAACCTGGAGTCCCGGATGAACGAGCGCTACATAACCCATGAGAGCGACGACCTGCGCTGGCATCACCACGCCCAGCTCAGTGGCCTCGACTACCCCTCGCACCTCGTCAACGGTCCCCCCCGTGGCGACAGTGGTCAGATAATGGAGCATCATTACAAGGAGCAGGAGGAGGAGCTGGAGACCCTCAGCGAGAGGGTCAGTGAACTCTGAGGACGGAACTCCAACAGGAGACGAGAAACAGCAACTCCAACAAAAGAAAAGTAGAAAATGAATTGAAACGCAAATTTAGATTTAGAATTAAACCCAATAATTGGTTATTTATTATGGATATCAGGGAGTTTAAGGTGTAAACCCGCCCTTATTCTATGAAAGCGTACTGCATTCACAAAAGAAAAAAATAATTTCATAATAATGACTTAACATCTTAAAATTTCATCGCATATATCTCATAATTATGAGAAACATATCTTGGCTAGTTAGCTTCAGCACGGAGCTTTGTCTCGTTAACATCCTTGTTTTGTCTGTACAAGGTCATAATTATGAGGAAAAAATCTTAAAATTATTTCTCATAATTATGAGATCAGTTTGTATTGTAAATATTTGATCCCTTCAACAGGAAATCCTTGTTTTAATGTACAGGTCCTTCATCAAGATCATTTTTCATTTATTCCTGTTACAGGGTTGAGATCTTTTGATTATTTTATCAAGTAATTACAATGTCCTTTTTTGTAAAATTGTAAAAAAAACCCAACAACAACTAAGATACGGATCTTATAAGTACGAAATGCCGAGTCATAAGATAAAACAAGTACCGATAAGATGATTACGAGATAAATATCTCCTACAGTTTCCATACTTTGTAATTGCAAGATCACATTTCATAATTTCTTTTTGCCTTGTAACAATATTTATCTTTATAAATTAGATTAGAAATAGATAAGATCATTACAACATCCTTACCTTGTATACACAAAACAAGGATCTGTAACTTACGAATGTATTTCCGAGTATGTATACAGTCACATTAAGTTTTTCTTTGGTGATTATAATGCAGGTCTTAAGCCTCGACCCAACGACTTATTTGTCACAGAGGCTAAAAGTCGGACTTCTTGTTTGAGACAATCAGAAAAAGACGCTACAATAAGCAGCTTTCATTTACATTCGGAAAACATGAAACCTCCCAGTTTGTGCCTCTGGTGTAATCATCACTTTTCTACATAAAAGACTTTGCACTGATGATTACAGTCAAGTTACGGAAACAAGCCACGGCTTTAAATTTAAGTAAATCATTTAAGACAGAGGCAGATTATTATTAAAAATTTAATAAGACATGTCCATAATTTCAGATTCTTCTGTCAATAAGTTGTAGTAGAATTTTGTTAAGTTCAGCTCTCTCGGCCAGTGTATATTCTAAAACTTGTTAAGCCGCACAAAGAAAGCTAAGAAAAGCGTCATTAACGTTCATCTCCAGCCTTATTTTTGTTTTTTGTTTTTTTGGGGTGTGTAATGTGTTACTATATAAAGCCGTTTATGGAATTTCAACTCCACTAAGGACCGTTCACAAATGTAGTTCCAGATGTTTTCCTTTGTAGGGTAGCAATGATGTGTCCGGGGTTTCATTCCAAAAGGAGATATCCAGAATTATGGAGGTTATTTATAAAGAAAGCAACTGCATCTGTGAAAAAAATTTCACCATGATGGAGTACTGTTTTCTGAAAATGGATATGTAGCATTTTGGAATGAAGATCCTCAATCAGTTAGAAAAAACAAAACAAAAAACAGTGCCAACAAATACCAAAAAACACCCTATTAACAGTTATCCAACAGTGACGGAAATGTTAAGATAGTTTTGCATCACCAGGGTTTTGTTATTTCTTTTAAAAGGCTGTTTGGACCACAGGGAGGCGACAGTAGCAAAGCTCCCATTTCAGTGGGTGTTGCCAACTGTGGTTTAACAAAACAACCAATTGTCACGCAATCTTAATTTTTTTTGTTGTTGTTAAAAAAACTGTTACTAACTTCAGTTTAAGTTTAAAAAAAAAAAAAAAAAGTAAAATTGTTTGTTTTTTTTCTAAAGGTATATATTATACAGCATGGTGTGTGTGTTTTCAGTTGGACAGGAAGTTCACCTGAATGCTACGTAGCGTCTTCTGTAAACAGAATGAATGTTGTTAGTTTCTCAGCATCTTTACTGTGCAGATAGCCCAAATACATACTGTTCTAACTTTGTATGGGATATAACGTCAAGGCCATGATCACACTGGAAGCTTTTCAGAACGTGTCAGCTGAAAATTTTGCTGAGTTAGCTTTTTGATTTTACAAGTTTTGAGAAGCTTATCTGGCTTTGAGTTGAGTTTTAAATGTCAACGTTAGCTAAAGAATGTCAACGTTAGCTAAAGAAGACCGCTAATTTTGCTATTGTTAGCAAGGCAACATGCAAACTGCTTTTTAACCTGTTTCTAATGACACAGTTTTGTTTTACGTTTTAGATTAGAGGGGAAAAACAGGTCTGATCATGGCCTACAGTAAACCCTGTTGGTCCAGAGCTGACTTGCTTACTGATAAACAGTATCTGGAAATGCTGCATTTGTGTTGCACAGTTAAACAAAATGCTACCATCCATCCAACCATCCATCCATCCATTTTCAAACGCTTATCCAAGGCCAGGTTGCGGTGACAGCAGGCTAAGCAAAGTTAACACTGATGAATAAATGGTTGAAACAGTTAGCTAAAAGTAACTAAAGAACAGTTTAAATAGCATTAGTAAGCTAAAAGTAACTAATAAACAGTTTAAATAGTTAGCTAAAAATAACAAATAATGATTGGTTAGCTAAAAGTAACTAAAGAACAGTTTAAATAACATTAGTTGGCTAACAATATGCCAATGAAACAGTTGGTTAAAAGTAACTGAGAAGCGGTTGAAACAGCATTAGTTAGCTAAAAGTAACTAATGAACAGTTTTGAAAATAGTTTTTAAAAGTAATGAATAATGATTGGTTAACTTAAAATAACTTAAGAACAGTTGAAATAGCATTATTTAGCTAACAATATGCCAATGAAACAGTTGGTCTAAAGTAACTGACAAGCGGTTGAAACAGCATTAGTTAGCTAAAAGTAACTAATGAACAGTTTTTAAAAGTAATGAATAATGATTGGTTAGCTAAGAATGACTAAAAACAATGCTGATATAGTAGTAATTAGCTAAAAGTAACTAATAAGCAGTTGAAATAGTTAGCTGAACATGATGAATAATGATTGGTTAACTAAAACTAACCAAAGAATAGTTGAAATAGCATTAGTTGGCTAACAATAAGCCAATGAGGTTGAAAGTAAGTGACAAGCGGTTGAAACAGCATTAGTTAGCTAAAAGTAACTAATGAACAGTTTTTAAAATAGTTAGCTAAAAGTAACGAATAATGGTTGGTTAGCTAAAAATGACTAAAAACAGTGCTGATATAGCCTTAGTTAGCTAAAAGTAACAAATAAAGACTACTAGCTATCAGTTGAAATAGCTTTAGTTACCCAACACTGATGAATAATGGTTGAAAAAATTGGCCAAAAGTAATGAAATAGTATTAGGTAGGTAATGGATCAACATTTGAAACATCTGACAGGGCTGTTAACACAGAAGGGTTTTTTCTGAAATGCTTTCTTTAACAATCAAATTACATTTTACGTCTATGTTAAACTAAGATAAAAACACACTGTCCGGAGGGCTACCTGGAGGGCTCAGTGAAAAATACCCCTCAATCCCTCAAAATGGAGTGGTAGGCCTGGGAGGAGTTGGGATTGTACTCAACACATTTACTTGTCCGGCCAAAGACAAGACGACAGTTGTTTCAGTTGTGCACCCAACGGCATACAAAATATCCACAAGTCAAGTCAGATTATTGGAGAAATACCTTTCTTTTGTTTGGATCACATCCAACGTGAGTTCCAATTTTCTGACGATACCTGCAATGTAGGATAGTAAAATAAGGATTTATCACCTCCTGCCCTTCATCAGAATTTCACAGATCATCTTTTTGGCCATTCACTTTGTTACGGTGTTTTAATAAACATGGATTTTTTTTTTTTTTTTTTTTTTTTGTATAAGTACCAGAAAATTAATCTTGTTACACTGATATAATTACTAGTACATCCCCATCTGTCTCGCTGTATTTCTGGCTCCCATGCAGTAAAAACTGAGGACATTTTAAAGTTTTTTTTTTTCCACTCACATCATAAAACATGACTTCAAGCCTTTTTTTCCAAATTATTTGATACTTTGGCACTTGAGCATTCAAAATGTCATATTTTTCCTTCATGTTCCTCCTACAATCTTTTTCCACCAGAGCACATGGTGGGCGGCTGTAATGATTACAGCAAATTAATTTTAAAAGTTTATAGTTTATTGGCCTTTGTGCTGCTCAGTGGACAGTAATGGTTGAGAAAAGGCCTCCCGTTACGCTCTACAAGATGTCTGTTTACCGATAAGCAAGGCAGAGTTGAACTGCCACATTTTGAACTTCTCCCATACAGACACAAAGGAGAACAGCATGTATCAGGGTTATTATATTATTATGATACTGCCATAGATCTGAAAAATAAGGGCTGTTTCTCTGAAGCCTTCATGGCCTTGTCTTTGTGCCTCTCTCTTGCTGATCAATGCTTCTGTCTTCTTTGATGTTTCAGCTTCACCTGGAACAGAAATGTCACCTGTCTCTTATGTTTCTCTGTGAAGAGGTGACTAATCAATTTGTTTGAATACTTGTTTTGTAATTGTGTGTACAATTGGTCCAACAGTGGTGTTTGCTATCTATTTTTAAGAAGCTGTAGATGGCTGGTGCAGCTCCAGGTGTTCATTCACGCAGCAACAGTCTGCTACTGAAGGTATACACAGGAAGTAAGGACTAATAAAGGGCAAGGTGAGGCAGGCAGTTCTCATGCACTGTTCATACGTTTTCCTACGAAGAGTTATTCACCAAAATTTGTACATATACTTTGAAACATGAGCCAGTAAGTCATGCATCACCCACGTATTTTGAAACGCTACGCTGATGGGAGTGAAGATGGAAGTTGTCCAGAAAAGTCAGGCTAGGAGGCAGGTTCGGGTCAAAAAACATAGGACATTCCCCAGGAGACGGGTATTGGGAAGCATGTGAACTTGAGTGAGTCATTTAAGGTATGTCATCAACATCAACTCATTCTCACTGCCAACTCGTCACATGTCACCACTTGGTCTAGGGACTTTTACGTCTACATATTACGTGCTAGGTATCCTGGGTGCGTCTGTTGTGTAAAATGACACTCATCGTGTCATTTTACACCTGTTACACGCATCATGTATTTTCAAAATAAACCTCCATTTTAACAGGAAATGTACAGTTTCTGCTCAATAGTTGCAGTCTTTTTCAAGATAAACTTACAATGTCAGTAAAACACTGCATATACGTTTATTTTATCATTCTTCGACCACTTCGTCCTTACGAGTGCCTGGTAAGGAGGCAGGTTGGGGTGGTCAATAGGTCTCAAAACATGGGACTTTTCCTCGGGACTTTACCCAAGTTTTAATAACCTTTGGGTCATTTTAAGGTACGTCATCAACATGTTTCTTTTCCTAAACCTAACCTTCATAACTTTACATTAATGTGTAACTTCACATTAAGTACGTAATGTCTTTCATGGGGCACTAATTCGTAGCATATCATATGAACTGTTGTAGGACATGTTAGAGGTTATATCAGGTGACCAGGTAACAGTGCTACTCATTTTCCCATAGACCAAATACAAAGAACGATAAGTTTGAGTTCTTGGGTGTTCAAACTCTGCATGTTGAACTCGGAAGTCCAAACTCAAGACTTGGGAGGACGCGGAAAAATTAAATATACACTGAGATGTGACATAATTCCTGAGATCCTCACCTTGAAATTAAGAAAGGATCCAAACTTCTAGATAGATTTTTCAAGCATGTATAGTCATAGATATTTTTTCTTTAGTGATTGTAATGCACTTCCATAGTCCTCAGCCTTGACCCACTGAGTTATCTATCAGAGAGGCTAAAAGTCGCACTTCTTCTTTTAGACAATCAAAAAAACACGCTATGGTAAGCAGCTTCCATTAACATCCGAAAACACAAAACCACAATTCCAAACTTGAAAATTACTCTGACGGTCAGATGTGGTCAGCTGATACATCTGTTACCCTCATTTTAATGTTTATGTATAATATACTGAATCAAATATCATATGCCACACTGCAAATGCTTGATTTTGTTTATATATATTTAATAATTTGTATTTAAATGTGTTAAGATCTGTAAATAACAAGAGACAGAACTACATAAAGGCGGAAATGCTGTTATATAACGTTCATTTACCTTCAGTCAAACCAATTTGGCAACTAAAAATATATATTCCGAGTCATTTAATGTAAAAAAAGTTACTGTATTTTATGTTTAAATGCTACGGAGACATCAGAACCACCAGTAAATAATCAAGGGCTTCTTAGATAAGACTGTTCTCACCGGGGTTGACAATAGATATTGCAATCAGGTTATGAGATGCTAGTGGGTCCTCATATCACCAAAAACACAGGAGAGTTGAGGATTCCTGTAGAAGTCTTCGCTGGTTTCATGGACATGTCATGGTGAGGACAACACTTGGGAGGTCACTGCCAAGAAACATTCCCGCACACAATCCCCTGAAAAAAACACAACTTGACTTTGTTTTTGTGTCAGTTAGATAAAAAAAATAGGTATACTATGTCAGTATTTTTTTCCCAAATGCATGGACAGATATGTGATCAGTATCGAACACCTCATATCTGATTTTCAGCAAAAGGTGAAGGTGATTTCCCAAAATGTCGAACTACTCTTTAAACGCAAGTATACCTTTACCCGAAGCCAAACTTTACCTCTAAATATTTCAGAAAGGAAATTTCTACTTAAAAACCTTGCGTCCTTATGTTTGGGGTTTGGGTATCTCAAGAC